AGTGAGCCTGTCTCTCAATAATTCTCCATATGTTTATATGTACATGCACTATGATGTGTCTGTATTGTAAATGTCTGTAGATGTTTTGTCAATTGTATATGCTTTGTCATGCCGATAAAGCTGTTTGAATTGAATGGTGGAGAGAGAGATAGGAGTGACAGTGGGAGGAGAGAGGTCAGTGGGGGTGTAAGTGTGAGTGGGCACCTTCTCCTTCTCTGTACTTCAGTGTTTCTGTTCTGTCTCCCTGACGTGACGCTGCCTCTCTCTGCAGGCCCTCTGGACACGGACATGCAGACGCAGGCTCGCAGCCTCACTGGGGACGCGCAGGTCCGACAGTCCTTTTCCGACATGCACAGCAAGGGGGGGCTGTTGTCCTGTTCCCAGTCCGGTGCCAAGCTGGCGCAGCTGCTGCTCGAGGACCAGTACCAGTCTGGGGCACAAATCGACTATTACGACATCTAGACCCCCCCGCCACAGCACACAGCTACGCCAGCTGGACCATCGTACTGTCCTGTATTTAGACTGGAGCCACACTACACTACTGACCTGTAACCTGCCAGTGCACTGACCTGTAAGTGGACCACCCCACTGACCTGCAGCTGGACCACAGCCACCCCACTGACCTGCAGCTGGACCACAGCCACCCCACTGACCTGCAGCTGGACCACAGCCACCCCACTGACCTGTAACTGGACCACCCCACTGACCTGTAACTGGACCACAGCCACCCCACTGACCTGTAACTGGACCACAGCCACCCCACTGACCTGTAACTGGACCACAGCAACTCTACTGAAACAGTGATACAGCTGACTCGCTGCTGGACAGAACACTGAATACGTCTGGTCGTCATTCCAGTTTGAAGAAGTACAGATCACATTCCTCAACTGTCTGTTTGTGCAAACCTGGACTCTCGGAGCCTGTGAGCGCAGAGCAGTGAAGTGGGCTCCTGTCTCTCCTGTCTCGTCTCCCACCCTGTGTCCTGCGCCTTATTTTCCCGCTTCTGTAACCCCTCTGCAGTGACCTGGTTGATTTTGGTTGTGTGCTGTGCTTTTTCCTGAGTGGAGAGAAGCTCAGTGAGTGGACTTCTTATCGGCCGGACAGGACGGCTTCAGAAGCACACGTTCACGAGAGAAGAGACCAATCTTTCATGCTTTACTGAGGCCTCTGTATTACAGCTGATGGCTCTGACTGTGCCTCTCTGTGGGGTGCTGGGTGTAGGGTGCCCTAGGAGAGAGAAGGCACCCCCAAAGATACTGCGATTCTGTCCAAAGGAATTGTTCACAGCAATGAGATGCGCAGTGTGCACACCTTCTACTGTTTAATGATTTCTTATGCTCTGGGCCCTGCCAGTGTTTCAGCACTCCAGCACAACCAGCGTACAGTGAGGGATGCCGCAGAGAGCTGTGTCCCTCTTGTCCTCGTGTGTCAGGTGGTGGCTGGGCTGTGGCGCCCCCTTGTGGGGTGGGACAGGGCAGGGGGAGGGGCTCTGGTCCCAGTCTGCGTTCAGAAGTTTGTGCAGTGCCTTAAGAACGTGTGTTCTGTTATTGTTGATGATATTGTTATTCATGTATCAGTGATGTCTGAAAATCTGGGCACAGTACCCTTGTCTCAGTTGTGAGTGTTCTGGTGTACGGGAGAGTATTTTGTCATAAATAAAATCCATTGAAGAAGTTGTTTGCGGTGTTGTTGTGGAAGAAGATCCATCGGGATCATCCCTGCGTTGTGCCTGCGGATGGGCTGGGAACTCCTGCCTCCTGATCCCTGCGCCTGGCCCTGTCCCTCCTCAGGATCAGGGTGCAGAAGCACTACGGACCAGGGGTGACGTGACTGAGCCTGGCCAGCGTGTGGAGGGGTGGACAGTGGGGTGAATGCGCTGTGTACGTCCTGCAGGAGTGTGGGGTGTGGGGTCACACTGACACTGCCCGGGGACGCTGCTGTGGCGCTCTGAGAGGTTCAGAAAAGGTTCAGAAACTGCTCGCGGTAAAAACAAATCGCGGTACGTTCGGTATAGTGTGTGCCTTCAGTCTTGAAGAACAGCAGAGTCTCCGAGAGACTCCAGGCTTCCCAGCGCGGGCTGTTGTGACTGTGCGCTGTGTGTCGGGTTTCCTCCTGGTCTCTGAGGAGCAGCAGCTGTGAGCTCACAGGGAGCTCGAGAGGAGCTGTGTCTCCAGGGGCTGTTCCTGCGAAGGCCGGTTCTGGGGATCTGATGGGACCTGGGTCTGCCTGTCCGCCCTGCCCTCCTTTCCCAAGACCCTGCTGTCCTTCGGGGCTGGGCTGAGCCCTCTCTCCCCTCTCCCTGCTGTCACACTGTGATGGGACTGGTCAGTGAGACCAGCCAGAGCTGGGGGGTGGCGGGGGGTGGGGGAGGTGAGCTCTTTGTTCTGGAGGTTTCTGGAAATGGGCTCAGGCCGCCACTCTGGTAAAAGGTTGCTGGTGGCCACACAGCCCACGCTCTCCCAGCTGCCCCGGGTGACAGGCAGGCACTTCTGGCTGCTAAAAATACACTGGGACGGCCCAATTTCTCCCAAACAAGGGGAAGCTGAAACACACCACAGCCCTGCAGGGCCTGGTCCCGCGGCAGTTGGCCGTGTCTCCCCCCGAGAGAGAGCTCCCTGGGGGAGTGAGTGCAGAGGCGGCCGCGGTCCTGCGCGGGTGTGAGCTGTGCTCAGGGCTCGCTCTGCGGGCAGGACGACCCCCCCCGCGCCCGGGAGCTGCAGCGCTTGGGGGCCGAGTCTATTTCGGGCCCTGCTGGGGGAGTGGCCAGAGAAGGTGTTGAAAGCCCGAGTCAGGGAGGGAGCGGGCAGGACATTCCTCTCGGCCAGTGTGAGCAGCGACCCCGGAGAGCATGGAGAGCGTCGAGGTGTTCCAGTCGGAGGGCAAGGGCCGCGGGCTGAGGGCCACCCGGGAGCTCTGGGCCGGAGACGTGCTGTTCGCGGAGCCCAGCTTCGCCGCCGTGGTGTTCAACAGGTAGGCCCGGTCCTGGCCGGGGCGGGTCCGTGCGGAGCGTGCTGGACAGCACCAGAGAGGCGCAGGCAGCTCGTCGGTGTGGAGCGCGTGAGGACACGCTGACCAGCGGCCAGGCGGGGTTCAGGGCGGGAGCTGAGGGCTGTGCACAGCTGCCTGTGGGCGTGCAGTGACTCTGTCGTGGACTGCCGAGCTGCTGCGTGTTCAGAATCACAGCGCTGCCGCCGGGGGCTTCTGTGTGTCTAGCTGCTCAGTGTTAAGAACGTAAAAATGGTATGTCCATCTAGTCATCTAGTTGTCATCCAGTAAGTGAAAGAAGCCAGGGTATCGGCTCCACCCACAAGCCTGGGCAGCTTGTTCCCAGCTCTCACAGCCCTGTGTGGGGGGACGAGCCCCCTGTCCTCACTGGGGTGTCTCATCCAGCTGTTCCGGGAAAGAAGCCAGGGTATCTGTTCATACGCCCACAACCATGTTAGGGTGCTGGTGTGTTCAGTAGTTCACTTTTAGAGTGCTCCGCTGCAGTGTCTTCAGGTGCCGAGTGTCAGTGTGTTTGGCTGCAGTGTGTTCAGTATCTCAGTGTCAGTGTGCTGGGCTGCAGTGTGTTCAGTATCTCAGTGTCAGTGTGCTGGGTTGCAGTGGTTTCAGTAGTTCAGTGTCAGGTAATGGGCTGCAGTGTGTTCAGTAGCTCAGTGTCGGGGTGATGGGCTGTAGTGTGTTCAGTAGGGTCCTGAGTTTCCAGTGCAGGAAACAGCTAAAAGTCTAAACACCGAAGGCTGTAGATACAGTAAAGGGGTAGTGCTGTTGTGCAGTAAATGGAATTGTTATTATGCTTCAGAACCTAAGTCTCAAAGTTGTGTTGTGCTAACCGCAGCAGCGTTACCACCTTGTATTCTGTATTGTGATAAGATCTCAGGAGATAAGCAGTCTGGTCCAGGTCAGTACTGGGATGGGAGACCTCTAAGGAAAACCAGACTCTGAAAGGCTGTTGGTGGGCCAGTAGGAGGCGCTCTTCAGGATCTGTTCAGAATGTCCAAAGCAATCCCCCAGCACACCTACACTGTGCTGTAGGAGGCATCGCCCTTCAGATTGTCACACTCAAGCCCTGACTAGATATTCACTAGAGCTTGGGACACAGTGTTAACCCCAGTGTCCTGGAAAATTCCACCCTGCTTTTATCCAATCTGGACTCCCTCAATTCTTTTAACTTATTTTGCTTTTAAGAACTTTATTTCCTTTTCACAAAGAATTACAGAATAAACACAAACTTTACAATATTTTATGCCTATAATGGTATATACTGTACTGTATATACACATATTAAGAGAGCAGAATAAAATTAATAATTATTTAATAAAACATTCCTGGTTAGTTTTTAACAAGAAAATTACATTTTTGCTTTACTTTCTTCTCTATTAGTCTGAGAGAGCTTTAAAGTGAAATACCTGGATCTAGTTTTCTAGATACTGGTCTCCACAGATCTCTCAGCTGGATGAGCCAGACCATCTGCACCCCTGACTGAAACTTCTCCTAAATCACCTGGGGCTGCAGTTTCTCTCTCCTCCCCCTGAT